GCTGCGTGTACAGCAGCTGGGCCTCCCGCAGCTGCCTCTGCTGCCTCTCCCTCGAATCCATCTGCAGGCCTGGCTGCTGCTTCTGCTGCTGCTTCTGCAGCTGCTCCACCACAGCTTCCAGCTTCATCCCGCAGTTTGCATGGCTGGGAGAAGGGAGGGGGGGCGGCTCTATCCGGCAGGGTTCAAGCCCCGACCTTGGGAGACAGGCAGGACCTGAGAGAGAGACAAATATTTGGCTGGAGGAATAGCAAATGCTTTCATCTTTTCCCCAGGAAGAGGATAAATAGAGTGCAAAGCCAGTGCTCTTTCCTGTGCAGGAGACCGTGAAACAATCAGCCTCAGGCTCCAACTTCCAGTCAATTTTCAGCCTCTTTAATTGTATTTTGAGCCGAGCACACTCACTGCAATCTCTCTACTGCACCCCAAAGACACCAGCCCAAAGGCCAGTCCCAATCCTTCCACGCTTCCTAAACAATTCCCTTAGAAAGGTTAGCTGCTTTGGTGCTCCTGAAATGCTGCCTTAAAAGGAGATAGTTGGGCTGATATGCTTTCCTATATTTCTATTAAAATGCAGGGAGAGATCTGTTGTGCACTGTTCAGCTCTAAATTCTCTGATGCTTTCACCACATTCCTTGATGCTTTATACAGTTTTCTTTAAAGAATTAGCTGTATTTAGGCATGATTTTTCCCAAGGAAATGAAGCTGAGAGTACAGCAAAGAGCACTGAGTAACTCCTGCCTCTGGATCCTGGAGGTTCCAGCGTATCTCCAGCCCCATCCATGTCCTCCCTTCAGTATTCCCAGCTGAAGGACCTGGGAGCTTTCCCAGCTCTCCATGTTGACCTGCTGAGCCAGCACTTGAGCAAAGCCCAACAGGACAGCCCATGGGTGGGAACACAGCACGGGATAAATCCTGGAAAGACGACTGTGCCGTCCACCCCGACCATGAGGATTTTGGACTCTGTGTCACCAAGTGCCCCTGCTGACAAAGACTGTCCTCTTCAGGGGGAAAAAAGATGATTCAACACATCCCACTTGCTGCCCTTCAAGGTTCATTGATATCAAAACACAGCCAGCGTGAAGAAACAAAGGAAAAGCTAACTACAACCTCCTGGGCACCTCCCACCGCCCTGTTTACAGCCTCCACGGTGCTCCTCGAGCCACATACTTGGGGGAAAAAAGAGACTACTTGGCTAAGAAACATTTCCAAACAGCAAAACTCTGCTCTAAAACAACTAATCACCTACCAGACAGCAGTTTGCAAAGGGAAAGACAACTTCCAGAAGCTCTAAGAGGTCAGACGGTGTCTCCTGTTCCAAGTGCACATAGTAGGCTCCTCATTCTTCCCTCTCTCCCTTCCCACCAGAACAGTCTGTGGTGTCCAACTCCTTTCCCTCTCCCTCTCTCCCCTCCAGAACAGCCCCAAAATGACAAGCCTAGCTAGTGCATTTGCCTTTTTACCTGGCAGGCAGCAGCTTGGAAAGGCAACAGCACAAAGTGGATTAGTGGTTTGGATGTCAGGAGCAATCTCCTGCTTTTACCTGGCAGCTGGGAAGAGCCTTGGGAAGGCACAAGGCACCATCTGGCCTGGCTCCACGCACCAGCACAGCAACAATGAGCTCGTTTGGGTGTTGCAGTAGCAAGCAGGAACCCCCTAGCCCACACCTTGCTGGGTATTGTTGCACCTGAGGTGTCACCTGTCCTGCCTGGGGACGCAGGGCAGGGCCTGCAGGCAGCACACACCTCAGGGTGATAAATGACCTGAGCCTGCAGAGCAAACACACCTCAGGTGCAGCAGCAACACCCTGGGATGTGCTGGCTGGCTGCTTCCTGCAGCTCAGACACAATAGTGGGACAGGTCACAGCAAGAGCCAGGCACAAACCCCCCCCCAAAAAAGGGGGATTTGGGGTGCAGCAAACACACCCTGGGTGGGGACTGACGTTGTGCTGGGCAGGCAGAGGGTTTAGAGCTGCTTTCAGGCAAAAAGGAGGTGGTTTGCTCACAGAAAAGAGCTAAACCACCATTTCAGGGCAGAGTTTAAGGTGAAAACTGAAATCAGGTTAAAACCATGAACCATTCCAGGTTTGGAGAGTCATTTAGCCCTTTGCATAGACATTTCCTTGCTTTTGGTGCCTCTCACCCCCTACTTCTTGTGCTCAGTGTAACCCTCCCGACCAGCCTTTGTGGGGCTCTGAACCCCCGGGAGAATCCTTTAATTAACCATCCCCTTCATTGGCATTTTGAACCACCTTCATTAGGAAATCACCCACGAGCATCGCTCAGAAAGAGTCTTTTTCCAAGTGGGAACTGCCAAAAAGAGTTAAACTGGACACCAACAACCCCGAGGAAGGGAGAGACTGCTAAACAACCCCATCCACCACCCCAGAACCACTGCCAGACCCCCGAGCCACCCCATGCAGGGCAGGGGGGCTGGGACCAACCCTCAAACCTTCCCAAACAGCTGGTGAGCTCCAGTCCTCTCTTCTCACCGTGGTACCTCACCGTGGTACCCCCCCCTGCGGCAGGGGGGGCTGTAGCCCAGCCCCCAAACCTTTTCCCCCCCAACCACTGCGGTACCGACCCCCCGGGCAGGGGAATCCCAGACAAGGAGAGGACCGACCCCTAAACCTCCCCAAACAGATACTGAGCATCATCCCATCCCTCCTGCTAAGTTATCGACCTCCAGGGAAGGAGAATCCTCGCGGCAGGGGAGACCCTCAAACCTCCCCAAGCAGCCGGTGGTCTCCAGCCCACCCCTCCCACTGCAGTACCGAC